TTATCAAATTATTACTAGTTCACTCTGTAAGATGCAAAGTCCATCATAGGCTTGTGGAGCTTAGAACTCACCTACCTTTTCATTCTATAGATGAGCGAACAGGTCTAGAATAGTTATTGGATTAGGTTAAAAAGCTAGCTAATCACAGAAACAGAATTAGACCACCACTTTCAGATTTTCCATTATATTCCACAATCCTCAAAGAAAGAGCTTGAAATACCAGCTTCATTACCCAGAGCATTTAGATATACCAGCGGTTATAGCAGCTACTCTAAGCAAGATGACCCACCTTATGCCATGGCCTTGCTATAATGTCATCCGTACGTGAGTCCAGTGAAGATGCTCTAAGGCGCCCCTTGAGAGGCAAAGAGCCTTGCAGTGCTATAGTCAGATTTCTTTCTGTTTGGACCCACGAATGGTGGGCAAGTGATTTCAACCAAGGCATACTATGTGTGGGGTCCTAACATGGTGTTACTGGTCAGAGTGTGAATGTTATTTATAAGTTTTATACTTTCACTATACGCATTATATGAAAGCAAAACTCAATCTTGGTTCACAATGACTCTGAAATAAAATAGGATAGGAAAAGCTTGAGGGTCAAAACACAACAGGAAGTGTAGCTGTTTAAAAATGTTGAAAAGGCAGGTTTAAATATATCGTCAAGAGTTCAGTTATTATAACAAGTAAGTTGAAAAGAGCTATGTCTCAAAAAGTATTAACTCATGTCATAGTTAAAACAAATTGCTCAAATGATGGCATTCTTTCTTACTCTTAAGGAGCTTATCTTACCCATCTGTGAAATAGAAAAGGTAGACATAAGGTAGATGGCAATACACCACAATGCTATTGACAGCCTGCTGGAAAAGCTCTCTTATAAAAAGCATAGTAAAATAATAGTCAGTGACATTGGTAATTTCATATAAAAATATGAAATCAAATGAGAGCAGGGACTCAAAGAGATGTTTGTATATCAATGCTATTGTGAACATATAGCCAAAAGGTGGAAACACCCAAAGGTCCATTGACAGATAAATGGCCAAATAAAATGTGGTCTGTCCATACAATGGAGTATTCTTCAGCCTTAAAAAGGAAAAAATTTTGATATATGCCACATCATGGATGAACCTTGAAAACATTATGCTCAGTAAAATAAATCAGATATAAAAGAAAAAATGTTATTGATTCCACTTATATGAAAGACCTAGAAGAGTCAAATTCATAGAGAAAGTAAAATAGTGGTTACTGGGGCTGGGAGAGGAGGAATGGGAAGTTATTGTTTAATGGGTACAAAGTTTCAGTTTGGGATGATTAAAAAGTTCTGAGATGCGTAGTGGTGATGGTTGAATAAAAATGTGAATGTACTTAATGCCACTGAACTGCATACTTAAAAGTGGTTAAAATGGTCAATGTTACATTATGAATATTTTACCACAATAAAAAAAAATGAGAAATGCTAAGTGGCAGGTTCTTTTATGATTTTGACCCATACAACATATGCCTAAAACGAAAGTCAGTATCAGCCACAGCATTAGAAATAGTATTTCTAATATACTAATACACCATCAAAGAAAAACAGACTTGAGTTCATCAACCCAAAGCCATTTGTCCTGTGTATTTATTACTAAAATAATTCATGTCCACCATGGTTATGAATGGAGCATTTACATTAAGCACAAGTTCCAATCAAACATACAGAAAGAGAGAAATCGAAGCAATGGAATTGTGTCAACACACTGACACAGCAACCATCTGTTGACACTGCTGTCCTCTGAATCCATGGGACCAGAATCATGTGGTAGGGCTGGGAGCTCCACCTTAGCTGTGAATCCTACTTTCGTGTCACAGGGCACTTCTGGAAGGAAGCTCTGTAATGGCCAGCTCTAAGTACTTGCAGACTTCCTACCAGTCCTATGCAGGAAGTCATTCTTGTGTCTCACCTGCATGAGTTCCTGTTATGAGGCCAGGGGGCTGGTGAGTTGAAATCCAGTTCCAGGGAGTGAGGTCATCTTGACTGAGCTATGAACCTGGTGACCTGCTCCCCATCCTGGTGTTGTCGCAGCCCTTCAGCTGGGGTTCAGGTTATAAGGGGACCGAAAAGGAAAAAGGGGGAGTAGGATAAGAGAAAAAGGAAAAATGCTTGCACATTTCCTTTGTTTCCTAACGCATTTTCTGCTTCCATTGAATTGGACAGGGAGGACCTGGCTGACGGCAGATGGGAGCTGTACAGATGCTCTTGGAGTAAGGACGGGCTCTCACACTTATCTCAAAAATACAAAGGATGAAAACATACAGAAGCTTTTCACTATTTCTGGTGGCATCTAACTTGGAAAGAGTGAATTATTTCTTCTTTGGATAAGGTTAAAAATACAGCCATGAACACTTAACATAATTGTAAACTGTTGTAAACAATGCATGATTACAGGAGCTATCTTAGCAACACAAAGAAATAAATACAACAAGATGTGTAAATAGTCATATTCTTTCTGTATACATTGTCAAGTAGGTGAGGAGGTCAAATCTGGAAATCCCATCTTTATAGGTAATAATAGAGGATTGCCATTCAATTCCATTTAGATGAGCTCCTTTGGTTCTTAGCATGCCAAAACCTAAAATGAAGTCGACAACAGGTGGCAGGATGGCTCAGCTAAAATAAAACAAAAAAAAAATAAAATGAAGTCGAGCATAAGAAGCAGCAGCAATTACTAACATTCCAAAATGAAAGGAAGAGAGGCATTTCTACTTAAAAAAAAAAAATTCTTAGAGAAATGAAGGAGAGATTTAAATTTTTGCCACGTTTATTTTACATCATGATTTCTTAATCCTTATTAAGTTGACACAATTTGGGGAAATAAATACCCCCTTCCCCTTTTTGGCTGCATATGTATCAATAGGGGTAGGAAGAACAGAATATGAGAGAACGGGCAAAGGGTTTAGGAAGTGGAAAGGGAAGGCTGAAGAGAGAGCCAGTGTTTCTATGAACCCCTCTGTAAGCAAATCAACCAACCAAGTAGAAAGGAGGCATCGTGAAGTTCTCGTCTCATGTGGGCTTCTGAAAGTCTGAAACGATTTGGGACCACAGTCAACGTACATTAATTATATGGCATCATGGTACGTGTTTCCTGTCAGGCGTGACGTGTGTTTTCTTTCTTTTCTCGCTTTTTTAAGATCCATAGATCACATTATTCATGAAGCATTTGTAGTATATTATTCAGCAAATATTAATTTGATCATATACACCAATCTTGGTTAGCAGAAAGCATGGTTAGCTGCCATGTAAAGGTCCTCCTTTTGAGTACCACTTAATTTTACACTTGGAGTTTCATATCAGAAGTTCTTGAAGGGCATTCCTCTTTCAGGTGAGTTCACAACTCATCTGTGACATTAAATGCAGGTAAAATAAACATCACACCTTGGTTAAAGGTTTGTACATCACAGCCCCTTGCAAATGTAGCCAGTGTCTTGCCCGAACACTATTTGTAAAGAATTGTCGGCCTTTTTCACCCCCTATTTCCTCTAAAGGTCGTTATCCCTGGGCTCTGGCGCTCCCTCCACAAGTGACTGGGAGGCAGAGCCCTCTGTGCTGGAGACGCCCGTCCCAGAGAAGGTCAGAATGTGTGCAGATCGCCCTGCCTTCTGTTCATCTCATCAGTTCTGCCCAGTCCACAGGCGTAAAAAACGGATGAGATTTGATATCTTCAACACCAGCAACTCCAGCACCAAGACGCTCCACAGGGTTGAACTGCAAGAGCTAAAAAAGAGGATTTAGTGACTAACAGAAATCCAGCGAGCACATCAAAAGAAAACAGAAAAATATATGGAAGGAGGGAACGTCTAAATTCAACCCCAGTAAACACATGCACTTAATAGCCAAATATTTCCTTGAAAGGGAGCTGTGTCTAACATCACTCTAGCTGTGGGTGGTGGGGTAGATCTGAGTCTATGGCTTTTCCATGGATTGGAAACATGACCTAGAGTAACTCCCTTTGTTTCTCTCATCCTCATATAGTATAATAGGACAGTTACACTTATCCATTTCCTACTCCAAAAGTACAGTGTGACATTAATTTGATATTGTACCAAATTTAGAGAAGTCCAGCTACTCCTTTCATGATTAGAAAGTTTGGGAGGCATTGTAAGTCTTTCAACCCCTTGTGAATTATATATGTGCTGGGACTAAACTTTACCAGAGTCTGAATTAGCCTATTTTTATTCCAAAATTGTTTTCTTTGAAATAGCTGACTCACGTGGAATAATTAGATCCACTGACTGAAAAGTGTTTTGACTTCTTCACTATTAGGAATCATGTATAAAATAAGTTAATAATAATATTATATACAACAGAATTGTTGAGTGTGGGAAAACAGAAAGTGTCATGTACAATTATAGCAGATACTGGGCTCAAGAATGTGTCTTGAGACATACACAGATCCTCAAATTTTTGTTTTAACAGCTTTACTGAGGGATAATTTATACTGCATAAAATTCACCTATTGTAAATGTACAACTCAATGATTCTTAGTAAATTTAAAGAGCTGTGCAACCATTACCACTCTCCAATTTTAGAACACTTTCCTCACCCTAAAAAGATTCCTTGTGCTGTTTGCAGTTGATCCTCACTTCCATCCCCGGCCTCAGGCAACCACTGATCTGCTTTCTGTCTCTATAAACTTGCCCTCTCTGGATATCTTATGTCAATGTAATCATAAAATATGTTGTATTTTGCAGCTGCTTTCTTTCACTTCACATAATGTTTTTGAGATTCATCCATGTTATTGCAGGTATCAACAATCCATTCCTTTTTATTTCTGAACAGCATGCTGCCTCTGTTTGGATATAATACATTTTGTGAATCTATTCACCAGATAATGGACACGGGGACTTTCCAGGTTGAGGCTATCATGAATGAAAGTGCTATGAACATTTGCATATATGTCTTTGTGTGGACACATGTTTTCATTTCTCTTACGGACATTTCTAGGAGTGGAACTGCTGAGTCATGTGAGAAGTTTATGTTTAGCTTTTAAAGAAACTGCCAAACTTTTCTAAAGGAGCTGTGTGCCATTTTACATCCCCACAGCAGTGTATGAAGGTTTCAATTTCTCTACATCCTTACCAACACTTGATACTGTCTATCTTTTTTATTATGGCCCTCTATTGGGTATTAGTGGTATCACATTATGGTTTTAATTTGTATTCCCTAATGATTAATGATGGTGAACATCTTTTTATGTCCTTATTAGCTTCCTTGGTGAATTTTTGCCATTTTTATAATAAGCTGTCTGCTTGTTGAGTTATAAGAGTTCATTATACACTCTGAATACAAGTCCTTTATCAGTTACATGATTTGCAAATATTTACTCCCAGTCTGTGGCTTGTCTTTTCGTTTTCTTACTAACGTCCTCAAGTGTAAAAGTTTTTTACTTTAATGAAGCCCGACCCAGGCCGGCCGAGTGGTGCGTAGGGTAAGAGTTGGCTTGGGAAGCCAGCTTTGAGCAGCAGGGCCCTGGTTCAGATCCCACATGCATGCCAGTGACACTGCCCTCTACCGCTAAGATAGTGAACAACAGCTCGACCTAGAGCTGGGCTGCCTGAGTCGCCGGCGATGGGCATAGCGTAGGCTGCAGTGGGGCTGGCTGGCAGCTGCCGTGAGCCACCATCCAATGGCTGATGAGCGACTGCCTCACCCAGGAAGAGCACAATAATACCAACATGGGCCAATGAAGCGACGTCCTCCACAAGTAGACTGAAGAACAAAAGGACAGCAACTTGTCTGTTCCCCTTCCCCAATTCCCCAATGCTGTTCCCCTCCCCCAATTTCCCAATAAAATCTTTAAAAAAAAAAAATGAAGCCCGACCCACATTATCAATTTTTTTCTTTTTGGTGTTATATCTAATAGCTCTTTGCCTAACCCAAGTTCATGAAGATTTTCTCCTACATTTTCTTCTACAATTTTTATAGTTTTAGCTCCCATAGGTCTATGAGCTATTTTGAGTTAATTTTTACATATGGTACAAAGCAAGAGTCTTAGTTCATTTGGTTTTATAGCAAGTCAATATTGATTTTCCCAGCACCATTTGTTGAAAAGATTTTTTTTCACCATCAAATTATCTTGGCATCTTTATTAAAAGTCAATTGACCAAAAATGTATGGGTTTATTTCTGGACTGTCAATTTCAATCCATTGAGCTATATGCCTATCTTTGCTTTAACAACACAGTAATTAAGTAATTATTGTGGCTTTATATTGTGGCTTTATACTGAGTGTGGAAATCAGGTAGCATAAGTCCTCCAACTTTGTTCTCTTTCAAAATTGTTTTGAACATTCTAGGTCCCTTGCTTTTCATACACATTTTGGAGTCAGCTACAGGTTTCCCAATCTTGCTCATCTTTTCAAAGAACCAACTTTTAGTTACCTTGATTTTTCTCTTTTCTAGTTCATTGATTTCTCTTCCTTTCTTCTGCTTGCTTTAGATTTGCTTTGCTTTTTATAGTTTCATTCTCTAGTTTCTTAAGGTGCAAGGTGAGATTTTTATTTGAGACTTTTCTTCTTTTCTGATATAGGTGTCTAAAGCCATAAATTTTCCTCAAGAACTAATTTAGCTGCATCTTATAAATTGTAATCTATTTGTTTTCATTTCATTAAAAACATGTTCTAGCTTCTCTTGAGATTTCTTCTTTGGCACATAGGTTATTTGGAAGTGTGTTCTTTCATTTTCAAATATTTGTGGATTCACCAGATCTCTTTCTATTGATGACTTTTAATTAAATTATGTTGTATGATTTCAATTCCTTTTAAATATTGAAACTTGTTTTATAACATATCATATGGTCTACAATGGAGAATATTCCATGCACATGCAATAAATGTAATCTGCAATCATTGTGTGGAGTGTTCTGTATATGTCTGTTAGAGTTGTTTGATGTTGTTTGAGTCTTCTCGATATTCTTGCTGATTACATATCATGTATCAACAATGATGTAGTGAAGCCTCCATTTATTATTATTGGATTCCCTGTTTTTCCCTTCAATTCAGTCAGAATTTGCTTCATATGTTATGGGGCTGATATTAGAGTGATATATCAATACTTCTTATATCTTTCTATGTATTGACCATTCTATCATTATGAAACACTGGTCTTGGTCTCTAGTAAGTCTCTTGCCTGGATATCTATTTTGTCTGGTATTTAATAGAGCCACTCCTGCTCTCTTACTGTTTGCACGGTTTGTCTTTCCTTTCAGTCTGAAGAACTTCCTATATTATTTTTTTGAAGGCAGGTCTGCTAGCAATGAATTTTCTGTCTTTATTTGGGAATTTCATTTTTGTTTATGAAGGATAAATTTGCTGGATATAGAATTTTGGTTGACAGTTATTTCCTTTCAGCACTTTGAACATGTTGTTTCAGCGTCTTCTGTCTTCTATTTTTTTCTTTTTTATTGAGGTATAATTGATATACTACATGATATTAGTTTCAGGTGTACAACATAATGATTTGATGTCTATATTGTGAAATGATCACCATAACAAGTCTAGTTAACACTGTCTTCCATTATTTTTTATGGGAAGTCTGACATTAATGTTAATGTTCCCTTGTATATGAGTTGCTTTTCTTTTCCTACTTGCAAAACTTTCCTCTTTCTCTTTCAATAAGTTAACTACAGTATGTCTAGGTGCGGCTCTCTTTGTATTTTCTTGCTTAGGGTCCATTGAGTTTCTTAGATGCATATCAATGTTTTTTCATCAAATTTAGGACATTTTCAGCCATTATTTCTTCAAAAATGTTTACTGCCCCTTTCCCTCTTCTGGGACTCCCATTGTATGTATATTGATATATTGTATTTGATATTGTCTTATGGATCACTATAGTCCTGCTCATTTCTCTTCAATTTTTTTAGTCTGTGTTTCAGACTGGATAATTTCTATTGTTCTATCTTCAAGTTCATTGATTCTTCCTTCATCTATTTTAAATTTGCTGTTAAGATATTCTAATGAATTTGTTTCCCCTAGTGAATTCTTCATTTCAATTACTGCATTGTTCAACTTGAGAATTTCTATTTGGTTCTTTTTAAAAAATATAATTTCTATCTCCTTATGGAGAATCTCTATTTGTTGATTCATTGTCGTCATACTTTCCTTTAATTCTTTAAATATGGTTTCCTTTAGGTCTTTGAATATATTTATAATAATCACTTTGAAGTCTTTGTTAAATTCAAAATGTGGGGACATGTAGAGGCAATTTCTACTGACTGCTTTTTTCTCCTGTATATAGGTCATACTTTTTTGTTTCTGTGTACACCTTCTATTTTGCAGAAAAAGGGACATTTTAGAGAATATATTTTAGCAACTCTGGAGTCTGATTTTCTTCCCACAAAGACTATTATCATTGCTGTTAGACAGTTTGTCCTTTGCTTAGTATCTTCTTTCAGCTAAATCTGTAAATTTGCTTCCCCCATTCCATTGTAACAAGCAGCTATTAATATCTACCCACTTTATTTCTTGTTTTTGTTTTAAGTTTGGCTTCAAGCCTACTGGTCAACCAGTGATTGAAAAGAGGTTGTGAATTCAAATAGAACAAAGGAGGCAAGGATATACAATGGGGTAAAGGCAGTCTCTTCAATAAGTGGTGTTGGCAAAACTGGACAGATACACACACCAAAATGAAATTGGGACTTTCTTACACCAAAGTTAAACTCAAAATGGATTAAAGACTTAAATGTAAGACCTGAAACCATAAAATTCCTAGAAGAAAA